TTTACCCCTTTGCTTAGTTATTTTAGCACTATTCTGTTAAATCTTATGATATAATTATTCCTCGTAGACCTTTCGATACATTTACCATATACTCATATAATATCTTTAGTTTAAGCTATGTTTAGTTCTATGATTTTCACTCGTATTATTGTTTAATAAGATATCACACTTAGGAATTTACTACTTCCATTAGACAATCAAGACACAGCGATAATATCATATTGATTGTAGAATGACACCTGTCATGAAGTTATTACAAATAGAGCTCATGTAATTAGTTTTAGTCAGAGTGAAGAGAAAGTGGAATAAAGATCCCGTAGCTCGTACCGAGAGCGGTCCATCCCATAACACTACCCGTGCTTCACCCGATTGGTAAGTTTATTGATTTATAAAGCATCGATTGTAATGACTACTATAATTGTAGAGTTAGTAGTATAATATGCACTTACCATTAAAGCATTCTTGTCACTGTCCTTGGTATCCGCTTGAACTGTCACACTAAATAAAGGTCCATTTGCAGACGTGCATTTCCTGTGAACATTTTTAAGAGCCTCTTTAAAGTCCCATGCAGTTTTCCTCGTCCCAGTTCGTACTGTCATCCCCCATTGACCAACCACCTATATCTCGGATGAACTTCTTCAAGGAGCGTTGCCAACTTTCTGAATGGCTTTAGAATTCAGTCATACAAGAATTGTATATATCAGAGGGCATTCGCATTAACTTTTTGCTTGTTTGCTTGCTCCCTTGATACCACTTATTCCATCTTCTAAGATTTTTCTTAAATATTGCTAATTCAGTTTTATTAGTTCATTGAAAATTGAATGCGAGATAGATCTAGCCGGTGTGGGATTTTTTCCCATCCATCCGCCACAGGCATAATTGTAAAAGTCGTCACAAGGGTCTACTGTGGAATCCATGGAACTCTTGATGTACTCTGCCGCGCCCTTGCATTCTTGGTCCTGACATACTCTCTTGCCGTCATTCTGGCTTACATGCCTTGTATCGCTGATTTGAAGCTGTGCAACTAGCAAAGCTAGTAAAAGTAGCAAGACCCTGGCGCTCCACATTTTTGTTACTTGTTATTATCTTCTTCTCTTCTTCTCTTTCGTCTTCTCTTCAAAGGGTTGTGTCGGATTCTCTAAAGTGTAAAAACGGGTTACCTGTTGCGCATGCGTTGTTTCTAGTTCTTTATTGATCTAGGATGAAATTTTAATTCGAATTTGATCTGGTGTTGTTTTATTTTATTCATTTTTGATGTATTGCTGGTGTTATGTCTTTATTGGTATCAGATGAACTCTAATTAAATTCTTGAATATATATTTGAACCATGACTGACTTCACGGTTAATAATCTTGAATGATCCCTTATCTTCACTGGTGAACTCCTTTCCGTTTACATGTAAACTTTCTTTCTTTCTTTATCTATTTATTTCTAGATCTCTCTCATTTATTTCTTCACAAAATTCATGTCAACCATCATTAGTAATTAATATAATATATGTCAAATTCACCAAACGGTAGTTTAATTCCAGTACCGTATTTTTTCTAAGTTTTGTTGTGGCATTTATTTTGTCAAAGGAAACAAATCTTATTGCCATTGAGCTGTTTATGTCATACCTTTTCTCTACCTGTGAAATAACCTGGTGTGATTCAAGGCATTGATGGATGTTTGGCTGGTTAACACTAGAATTTACTCTACGCTTAATCGATTTCCTAGATTTTTGTTTTTTTAATTATTATTATTTTATTATTTTATTAATTAATTTATTTGGTCTGATAATCTCATAAACTTTCTCATCCAGTCGACTGAGGAAGGTTGGACAATTACCATAAAAATCAAAGAAATCCAGGGGCCTTGCCGCACAATTACATCCCCCCGTCAGTCATGATATCTCATCCGATAAATCTTCAAGTTAATGTAAACTAAAACCAGTAGATAAAGGAGGAATAAATGAAATAAAAAAGATAACATCAAACAGGATAAAAGTATTGAAACAAAATCAGGATAATGATAAAGTAAACAAAATATAAATGCTTTTTTTAATATATATATACATTTTTTTAAATAAAGGAGTTATGCTGAAATTGGGAATAATTTTTGGCATTGTCTATGTGTGGTTGTTGACTACATAAGAAAAATGAAAGATTGCTGCAAAGCCACGGAGGTGTCACAGTTTGTAAACCTTTGTAACCGATGATGAAACAGAAGAATAACCGAGAACAAGAAGGAAATAGCACATGGTAAACTAGCCTGCAAACTGGGCGTTTTTGTGGGTTTGGGGAAGAATCGGAGCAAAAATCGGGGTTTGAGGTTCCTGTTTCAACTACGTGCCCGCGAGAAACGCCCTTCCTCCTCTAAGCTCGATCATTTCTAATCATGGATAAGAATGGAGTTACTTTCCGAGAAATTTTGAACAATATAAAGATCAAATAATATTTTCACAAATTCTTTAAATGCTCGTTTATTTGAGGATAACGCTGATTAATTCATGTACCGAATGTATTGAAGTTATCATAGTTCAGTGACATTCTCAACCTACGCATCTTCTCCTTTTGATATCACGATAAAATTGGGGCTGTTGGTGGGGCGTTTGCACCACAAAATGATATAAAATATATCCTTCTCCACAGGGATCCATTTTATTATATGTCAAGCGGTCCATCCTTGTTCCATATCGCACATTTTTTTTCAGGATTCATTGGGCTGTTCTTTTTACACTTGAACGCCTTGGCAAACTCATGAGAGTTGGAAAGAATCCCAATAACCCTGGAAAATAACGAATTATGTTTTACACAAACTGAACAAAATTAAATTAGCTATAAACAAGTAACCGAGGAAAGGCATACCTAAATTTGTTTTCTGTGTGAAAGTCCTCAAGCGTGTCCTGGTATTGCTTCTCTGGTTTCTTGTTCTGACAAAACGTCTGTAATTAAATAAATATTGATCGGTTAGTTACTGACAGAGAGTTCGTACTGAATACTATAAGTCCTAACGGATATTCAATTCAGTTTATAYTAACCTACTTTAATACATTTTTAACTGAACCTTCGCCTACTCATATTGGTGCTCGAAGAGCTCTTTCCATTTCTTGAGCTTACTACTTCGGCAGAACGTTTACTACTTGGCTAATTGCCCTTTTTCACTATGACGTCACTGCTTGTTTATGTGGGGGCTAGAATCGCCAAATCCAATAGAAAATTCAACAAAATTTGCTCCTAGCGAAACAGTTTAATCTAAAATGGCCTGGTTTTCAGATATATGTATAATATGTGTTAATATGTACTAAAAATATTCTGAGCATTTGCTGGCTATTCTACTTCTCTTCGTGGATTGATACTGGTTTAAGAACAATTTTGGGTGAATTCGCGTTGATTTGACCCCTCCGACGACCATGATCCTTTGCGTTTAAACAACAGATTGTTTTGATGTGACGTCATAGTGAAATAGGGCAATTAAGGAGAGAGGGACCCAAGGCCTCGTACTGAAGGGCTGATTATTGAATAAAAGGTGCAAGGGACGGCATGAGCTTACTGTCCAACGTACTTTTTCATACAAATCCTTACAAGAAAATCTTTCAATTGCATATTGAATATTCTATATTCTATAAATTGGAAGGGAGGGTTTACGTACCTATTACTGCACGTCCCTAATTACTATTATTAATCTTTAATACCATAATCATTCTTACCTGGCCCAGACCTACATAAAGTAGCTGTTCGTTAGTTAAATCTAATCCTGGTAGTTTCACAAGATTATTGCTATTCTCCTTTAACCATCCATAGTAGGCCTGCGAAAGTCATAGTACAATCATATTTAAGTAGGATTTATCAATCGGATAGCGCTATCCAATCAACAATCGGTTGTTGTCCTAAGTTTGATTGACGGAAACTAAAATGTACGTTTTGAGCTTCCGCCAAATGTATCGTAGTCATGGCGTAGTAATGAAAGGCACTGTCATACTCTAGAGACAATCTGAATGTGCCTTTAAAAACCTGGTAACTATAGTGGGACTCGCGCTGAATCCCCCTGACTGTCAGTTAGGGTCGCTATTCTTTCAATATGGCGGAAAGCTTAGGAAATCTCTTGAAATTCCACCAAAAAGTAATGTAATTGAAGACAAATAAAACAAAAACAAAAACAAATGGAGTTCCCAATGACTGATTCATTAATATTTTAAAAATCATATTAAATAGTAAATACTTATTGTTATATTTACATATATATAAGCAAATACCTTGGAAGTGGCCATAAACCCTCCATTATCAGCAATATTTTCACCCAGGGTGAGTTTGCCATTGATCTGTTGAAGAAGGACCACAAATTATACTTGGAGTGCATGTTACGTCATAGCCGCCATGTTGGTTGACGATAACAAAGCTTTTTTCATTATTTTCTATTCTTTTCTATTCTTCTATCGTTTTCTATTGTTAGGTCAACCAATCTGGTGGTGGTTTCATTTTTATTAATAACGTACATTTCAAAGTGGTCGCACTAAAAGAAAAATGTGCTACTCAAGATCGATCAGTACCGCTAAGGTTAAGGTTAATTGAGTTGTCGGTGTTTCATTACGATCTTTAGAAAATTCAGCAGAAACATGCAGCAGGAAATTCAGGGCAACAGCCAGAAAATTAAAAACAGCTCCGTAGAATAACTTTGAGATACCCAGGAATCCCATAGCACTAGATTTGACTTTCTATTCAGCTGATTATCATGTCATCGAGCTAACATCTCACCGGATATTTTCCTCCGACTTTATAGTCTGAGTATTGGTCTTCAAGACATCCCATTCTGGTTTTAAATTCGGAGATTGATTTATTTGTCCACCATGGTGTATCCAGAACTTCTCCATTTTTGTTATAATACATGCCTTGAGAAAAGAATTGCAATACTCAATTGTTAAAAGAACGGTTCAGAGTATAGCATGTTAAAGGTAAAATATTACGTATCACTAAAATAACTTATATGAATATGAATCAAACCACGACGGCACCATCTACGATCCAATCAAATACGGGGAACCGTACGCCGTCCTAATCACATGATTCTAAGTTTTGCAAATCAAGGTCTACACAAAAGGCCAACGGTATGTGAGTATGCCTTTTTAAATCTATATTCTATTAGTTAGAAATTAAATGTAAAGATACTTCATACTTACCATCATCGTCAAAGCCATGTGTTATTTCATGCGCAATAACAGCTCCAATACCACCATAAGATAAGGCACTGTAAATATAATGACCACACCATATGTAAATCAGTGATTCTCGTCCACTACCACTACCGCTACCACTACCACTACCACCGCAGCACTAGCACTAGCACTAGCACTAGCACTAGCACTAGCACTAGCACTAGCACTAGCACTACCACTACTATTAGAGCAGTTTTCGTATGACTGTGAAAAGCTCAGTGCCGTAAGCGTATTG